CAGTCGCAGCCTTCTTCCAAAGAGCCTCTGGTCTGACATACCTTTGATGCATCCACTGGCTCCGGCTTGGCCTTCTCCAGTGGGATTTCTTCACGTCTCACATCAGGTTTTTTCTGTTCCTTTTCTACTTTAGAGGGGGCGACCACGTCCTTCGCGTGGGGCTTCGCTGGGAGCGGCTCTGCAGCGTGGCTCTGCGCGATGGCCGGGGCGGAGGTGGGCCGGGGACTCCGCTCGGGGGTTATCACCGCCACGGCTGAGGATGGGGGAAGAGACAGACAGGAACAAGGGTCAGAGTGGGTAACGTTTCTAAAGCACCAGGCAAAGGCTTTCCAAATTACAGTGCTGTCGTTTGAAAAGAAAGGGAGGAGGAAGAGGAAAAAAAAAAACAGAAAAAGAAATAAAGATGTTGAGCAAAGCAGCTTGTGCACTTAGTACGGGAAAGTTGAGATTATTTTCCTTATGGTTTAAATAAAATAAAATAAAAGCCCACCACGGATGGTTTACAAAAAGCAAGCTTGCACTCTGCAGAGAAGCCACACCAGAAAGGCGAATCTATTTTTGAGACTGTGCCATCGATTTCTGGGTCCTTCGAACACAACAGACACAGAAGTCCACCCCAATGCAGCTGCTAAAATAGAAACACTTAATAGCTGTGGCGAGTTCTTGACTCATTGGCATCTCCTCAACTAGAAATGGACGGTTTCTGGAAGGGCAACTCAGGCTCTCCCCCAGCTCCCCAATCTTTTCAGCAATTAAAGCAAAAAAAAAAAAAACCAACAATCAACAAGCATTGCTCTATAAAATTTCACAGCAACTTCCAGGTGGGTTTCAAAGCAGGCTGGAGCTGTGTGTCCGAGGTGGGTATCTCCTGCTGCACCCCAAGGCACCACTGCCAGAAGATACCCAGCATCTCCGGACCGGTGACAGTGCAGAAATGAATAGCGTGCTGCCAAAAAAATCATCTTTCCAGAGGCTGACAGTCTTAAATACAACCACTAAGTACACACAAAATCAACTGCCCCCTCTTTCCTTTGATTCCTGATTTCCCAGACAGTTCCTGACCCCTGAAAAGCGCTGACACCTCTGAAATAGCCAAGTCAACACCGTGTGACAAAGTGAGCCCCACTGTGCGTATCTATAGGTGGAATAAGCTCTTCAGTTCTCCTGACGTTGGTTTTTAAGGCTGTTTCACTGAAAACGCACCTAGTCACCTGAATTAATTTCTCTGACAAGGTCTCATATTCCTAAAGTCACAGTTTATGCAGCAAAGGTCACGCTGTGTGACCAGTTACCAGTGTCCATCCAGCTAGTCAAAGACACCAGGAAATTTGGCGTTAAAAAAGAAACTCCTTGGTAAGAACCCTCATTTCACTGAAAAGAGAACTCATCTGTGTGTATAAAACGTGTATAGGATAAAGTATCGTGTGGCCAAGAACATGAAGGGGCAAAATATAACCTGATTTTTCAGAGACTGAAATTACACTTTTAAGACAAACTCCTAGACACCACGTCTCCCTGAAAATCCACCCTAACATCCCAAACCACCACCACCTCCGTTATCTCGCCCCATCTCCGGCACAGCAGTTCATTCCTGTGAGCCAGACACTGCGTTATCCTTTCGGAAGGACAACCGGTGCCGTGTCCTGGTGCTATTTATGCCACGGAAGCGGTGACGGCCGCCGGGGAGGTTGTACAGAGGGATGGTGAGATGGTAGGAACAGGCGGGATGAGGAGGATGCCGGGTGTGAAAAGCCGCCGCGGTGGTACCTGGCTTCTTCGGGACTGGCTCTACTTCTCTCATCACCACCGTTTTTTCTTCCTCCTCCTCTTCTTCAATTGGGCTTATCTCAACACTGCCAAGAGCACGTTTGGCTAAAAAAGTTACGCGGGTGTTAAAATGCCACCTTGAAGATCAAGTAGCAAAGGAAGCGCTGCCATCAGTAAACCCGCAGGGCCACCTCTCTCTGGGGACTCCTGCTTCTCTCTCAGCCCTTCAGAGCATCAAGACATGGGGGAAAAACACTAACAGATACCAAGTTTTTCCTCTGATACTCAGTGATGAGTCTGTGCTGTCCAGAATTGCGTTATTTTAGTCATATTTTCTTGATTTAGCACCGTTAGCCATTTTCACACATGTTGACTTAAAGACAGTAGAAAGTGCTGCTCCAAAACAAGAGCTTTAAAATTGCCCCAGCCAAGAAAACGGTACTTACTGGGAACAAAAGTGTCAAGAGGAGGACAGAAGTGCAGGAGGTGCATGAGAAGGGGCAGCTGCAGCAGGAGAGCACTGGACGTGCTCAGGTCTGACACTGCTGCCACCCATCCCATGGAATATCCTCGAGTCTAAGTGCAGGGGTTGGTTTAGTATTTTTCGTATTATTTGAGAAAATGGGTGAAGATCCCAGTTACCTCCCTCCACAGCCCCAATCTCCTCTTCCTGCAATGACTAATCAACTCTGCTTTTAATTGTGATTAGAGTGTATCTGCCTGCAGCAGTGAAGCTGCTCTGAAAAAACCCAACTAGGGAAGAAAAAGGCTCCTTAGTGAAGAAAAAAAGCGGAGTGTAGGTGACCTCCCAGAGCACACAACCTGATTTTCAGCCACTGCACGTTCCTACAGCTCAGGGGAACGAGCCTTATAAGAAGGGACAGTAACAAAGGAGCGTTAAAAGGCTGTTGCACACTCATTTGAACACACAAGCACACACAGCCAAGCCACAGCATGGCACCTCCTCGTCTCAACCAGAGGCACATCCCGATAAAGCAGCGCTCGGGAACGACAGCACACTTGCAAAGCCGAGTGTGGTTTTAATGGCAACGGACACCACGGCAAACGATGAAACCTCTGTCCTACAGCACTGCATCACTTCAACCCAGCAGGTCACAGCACGGGCGGCCACCGGAGCCGCACCGATGGCAAATGCCGCTGCGGCTGTACCTGACCGCGGCTGCGACGGCTCCGGTAACTTTGGCTTGGCAACGGGAACCTTAACCACCTCTACCTTCTCCTCCTCATCTTCTTCCTCTGCAATGGGTTTCATTTCAAAAGTTTCAAGAGCGTGTTTGGCTAGAAAGAGGTTTGCATGTGTTAACAGAATCATAGAACGGTTTGGGTTGGAAGGGACCTCAAAGATCATCTAATTCCAACCCCTCCACCACACACGGTCACCACAGCAGAGGAAAGAGCAAGAGGAGATCCCTCTTCCAAAGGCAGCAGCTGAGAAGAGCAAGGAGGTTTTAAATCAGGCAGCTTAGTAGTAATTTTCCACCATACAATTGCTTATCAGTCTTTCTAGTGCTGCCAGGCTCAACGGAGTATTGGACAGGAGGGAAAAAGAACACAAATTAGCTTTGCAGGCGTCTTGCCCAGGCAGGGATACGTGGGGACACGCAAACGGCCCTCGAGTGCAGTAGTAGGATGGGCTCTGCCTGCAAAGTCTGGGGAGATGCAGGTGCTGGCTGGTAAAACCCAGGAAAAACACACCCACACTCCTCTAAATAAAAACCTATATAAAAACGAGCCGCTTTAATTAAATGTACTTGAGTGATCAACTTCAAATCTAAAAAAACCTAAAGATACAGCCATTTATCCCGGTGTCTTCAATGTTAATTCTCCACCTTTGGTTTCTACAGGCAATGCTGACTGGTGAGAATTCAAGGCAAGACGGTGGTGGGGAGACAGTCTGCCACGTTACTTTATGAAAGCTTAGTCTAGATTTCATACCAGAAAAACAGTGATGTCAAAAGCACGCTGTAAAAAAAAAAATAATCAGGGTGGAAGAAGGGAAGTGGAGCAGTACACAACGTGTTTGCATACGAATTATCTCCAGCCCTAATGCACCACAGGTATTTGCTATGTAAGTGATGAAGACTGCAAATATTTGACAACAGCGCTGCTGTGATATGCTTGTTAGCATTCAAATATGCTGTTGTACCTACACACCTCTTAAAGGCATTAATAATTATTAATATTTATTAACAGGATTTATCTTAAGAGAAATATAAGCTCCATGTAGCAAAATGGGTGGCGTTTCTCAAACCACTAAAATAAACCCAGAATAGGCTTAAAAAATGGCAAGCAGGTCCCAGGATGAAGAATTTCAGAAGCTTTACAAGAAGTTTCAAGATCAAACTTTAAAGTTTTCTAATCCACATTTACAAAACCACCCAAATTTAATAAGAAGACAGTTCTCAAGTGCCGGCAGCACATCCTAAACTTTTCCCCACCTCCCTGCGAGAATTACAGGCTAACGAGGTGCAAAGCGGAAATTTAACGAGTCTCCCAGAGAGCTCTGCCAAAGCTGTCTGTCCTCTGACTGCAAAACTCTTCTTGCAAAGAAACGAAAAAAGAAAGCTGCCAGATTTGGTGAAACTTTGGGTTGTCAGGAACAAGCATGTAAAGGACAGGAAAGGCGCTGCAGAAGAGTTGTAGCCACCACCACAGCTATACCTGGCTTCTCTCGGATCTGATCCGCGGGTTTTGGTTCGGGAACCTCAACCACCACCACCTCCTCCTGCTTCTCTTCCTCTAGGGCTCTGAACCCAACTTTTTGAGTCGCACGTTTAGCTGAAGAAACGGGGCACATGTTAACGGCCGCCCACACGGCAGGTGGAAAAAGGCTGCAGACTTCAACGGGGACAGAAGCGTTACATTCACAGGCTGCTCTTTTCAAGCTCTGACACTTGGCTGCGGGATGGCAGCGGGGATTTCTCGACTCATCTGGGGTCAGAACGGTCTACAGGGCATGGCCAAGGGGCGACCAACAGTGCTGGTCCCCTCGCCTCCGTGCATCGTGCCTGGGTAACCTCGCACACCCGGACTGCGGGCACGCAGTTTTTTTGCTCTGCCGTGGCACGGAGATCAAACCAAGCAGCCCAATTCCCTCCCAGCTCCGAGGCATGAAGCCCAGGCTCGGGGTGTCGCTGAGCCCTGTAAACCTGTGCCAGGAGCAGAGGCAGCCTGGCTGCTGCTGGCCACAGGGCACTGGGGCAGCCCTGCTCCCTCCTGGCTTGCAGCACGACCTCAGGGCTCAAAGCAACGCTGCTCTTGCTCCAGCAGTTGTCCCTGGTGCAAAGGGATGCTCCTCTTTGCCCTGGATCCTGATTTTACAAGCACCCCATGATCCAGAATGAGGGGAGCAAACTTAAGCACTCTCCCTCCTATGCCTCACCTCCTCGAGCCTGCTGCTCTCCGGCTCTTTTAAAACTCTCAGGGATGAGCCCACCTGACCGATGTGCCACAAACATCAACATGAGCATCACTTCAACAGATCTGAAAATGTTTCAAACAGCTGTGGCAAAAAACCTCCCCCTCAAGGAAAACTATGTTATTTAAGAAGCTACATTAAACAAAACAAATCCTAGAACAGCTTAATTCCTCATTTGCTAAAAGGAAAACGCATTGAGATTGAACGAGGAAATTATCTTTACAACCAGAACTTTGCCATAAGCCTTCAGCACCCACCTACATCCTTTTAGTCAGTCAGTTCTTCCCAGTACAGCTATCAGCTTGCATTTTATATCCAGGTCTTGTATTAAAGTGAGAAGTTATGCTTTTTTTTTTTTTTTTTAAAAAGCCGGGATCCAGTCATAAACAAAGCTGGAGTTTTCTGAAGAAAATGAAGTCCTATGAATAGCTCTGTCCAATTATTTAAAAAAATTCTTTGAAAATTTTGCTTACAGACATGAAAGGGAAATTTGACTTTCAGAACATCACATTTGGGGGGAACAATGAATTCCTTTTTCAAAGTGAAATGTCACCAAAGTTTTCAACAGAGGCTATCACAGCGCGCCAGGAACCTGCTCTTCGGGATGGCCTCGGTGGAAGTCAGCCTGAAAACCACACACACCGTATAAAAACCATACCTCCAGCTCTAGGAAGTGGCAGGTAAAGAACAATTAAAGTACAAATTAAAGAAGACTCTGCACATGCTTGATTAACAGAAACAACAAGTCCCACGTCTACATAAGCTAGAAGACCTCTGACATACGCGCCTTATGAAGCAGAAGCTGCCTAGAAATTTAGTGCAATATAAACACTTAATGTCTCTGCAACCACTTCATTCCAGTTTTTGTGGAACCCTGAGGAACACTGAAGAAGCCCTCATTTACAGCAGCTAATCTAAACCACTAGATATTCGAGGTGATCCTACTGTTTAGAAAACCCACCTGAAAAACGTGTGATGCTCAACACATACTTTCCAAAGCTTCTTCGCTGCCCGGTAACTTGGTAGCTTGAACCCAATTGTACTTTCATACTGTTCTTGCTGTGGAAAATATAAGTCTTTTAGGTACAGGAAGAAACAAACGTGGCAGGAGCCCAGTCCCCAGCCCATCGACCTGTTCTGCTGCGGCACAAACTGCTGGTCCAGCCCAAGAGCAGCTGAACTCACTCCACATTGTGCAGGAGGAGTTCGGGTCCGAGATAAGACAGGGCTTGGCCACAAGCTTGGGCATCTCTCAGGGTGCACCGGGATTGGCAGAGGAGCGTGCCGTGGGTTTTGCAGCTATTCAAATTCATTTATCCCCCTGCCACGCTGCCCAGCTGTGGGATGTGGTTTTCAACCTACTCAACTTGAAAATAGCAAGGCTGGATCACGGCAGCTGAAGCAGGAGGAAGAAGGAGAGGAGGAAAGAGGCAGGCTCCCACTGTAGCCTCTCTCCCCAGTGTTTCCAGCAGCCAGGCTGCTCTGGAGATCTCCCAGTTCACGAGAGGCAGCATCAGGGCAGTTGCCTGCTGCAGTCTAAGTGAAAAGGTATGCCTCTGTATTTTTCTTTTTTAAATATAAAGCGAGACAAAGAGCTTTTGTCTTGCCCCGTTTCCAGAAAAAGGAGTTAGTCCCCTCCCAGTTTCAGCCGTGAATTTCCCACCGCCTTCCCCTGGATGCTGGGAATACCACGCGGTGCCAGGAGATGGTGCTGGATGACACGATGTTTGAATTGTCACCCGCTGTTTTATCCCTTCAGCAAGGCCAGCGGGCTCTATCCGAACTTAATACCAAGCCAAGATCAGAAACTTCACAGTATAAAACGCTCTTTCACAGAAAAGCTTGCTCCCTCCCTCCCCGTTTCAGTGGAGCACAGGTGCCAGGGATAATCAGAGGGAGATTAAAGAAGAGGTGAGCACAAAGACCTCAGAACGTACCTCCCCCGGCCGAATCTTGATAAAGAAGCTGCTGCGTTTGTAGGAAATCTTCAGGACTTTGGGCCACGGGAAGCGGTTGATTCTCAGTTTATCTTTGTAAACAAGAAGGCCACTGGAACAGACTCCCAGAGTGATATCCACTCCTTCCAAGTCCTGGGAAAGCAGATGAGGATTTAAGCAGTGTCAGGGTTACAAGTTTCAAGTCAATGTCCACCCTCCAAACTACTCCTCTGGTCTTTCCCCAAGGCTCTCCTGAATTCATCTCCCCGACTTCAGCTTCCAGCTCCCTACGCAGCCGGTGCCAGGCTTGCTTTTCCTTCTAAGCTCCTCAGAGTAAGGATCTGTCTGCATCAGTACCTTTCTAAAGCTTCCTGTAATATATAAGTAATAAGCAATCAGGAAGAATCATTTTCTCTTGCAAGAATGCTTGAGATGCTTCTGTTGTGTGTCTGCCTTTCTGTACCAGTAGCCAACTCACTTCCTCTATCTTTCAAAAGGAGCCTCCTGAAATAGGTAAACTTGCTCCTGCAAGAGAAGGATAATCAAATTCCAAAATCCACAGGCAGGTGCACCCACACTGATTCTCACCTTGGCTTGGTGAAGGTCGACTCCATACATAGACAGCTTTTTTGCATTCTCAAGAAATTCCAGGTCTGCTTGGGCTGGAGTCATGGATCTGGGGAAAAAGAGAAAGGGCTGGTATTCCTGTAACTGTTGCTTTTAGGAGGGAACAGATCGGACTTCACAAAATCATCTACTCATTAGATTTTCTTTGGCTTTCAGTACAAACAAATTTGTGCCCAGATGAAGAATCATTAAATTGCTCTGAATGCACAAATTTGTGCTTTGAGACATCCTCATAAAAGAGACGCACCTTATTTCTGCGGAGCTCTACAGACACCAGAGCGGCCAGGAAGCACGGTACAGGGTACAAAACCCGATTCAGTGGAAGAAACACCAAGTCAGCTGAAGGCAGAGGGTGACAGGTACTGCCCTCCCAGACCTCCTGCCTCCAGACCCCCCAAACCCAGCTATTGTTCTCCAAACCAAACGCAAGGACAGCTGAGACCGCTCAGCGGCGATTCCTACTGGGACGGAGCAGATGAATGAGACATTTTCTGGGAACAGATGGTACCCTGTCCGCAGGAGGGGCAACACAACGCAACTCTGCTTAACAGAAACATCCTGATAATGGAGGCTATTATCAACATTATTGAAGTGCCCTTGTTAATAAGTTTCTGGTGTACGAGGTGCATCTAACAGCTCTGCTGGGAGAGTATTCGGCTCATTTTGTTCCCTGCTTTGATGTCTTCCTTACAGAGCCCTGGCAGACACCTCGTGTGCGATGTAAATAGAGGTTTTAGTGGTGGGAGACAGGGCAGACAAAGAAGAATGGAAGGACAATCCTCTAGGAAAGACCCAGCAGTCGCCATCTCCAACACGTGCCTTGCGCTTTGCAACTAAAGCAGCCAGAGACGGAGCACGGTTTAGCAGAGTTTTCCCCTGAAAACCCTCTGACAGGTTAATGTTCACAGAACATGGACCAGAAATTAAACAGGTGCACGTTACTTCCTCCCTCCTGCACGCACAAGCAGATTAAATATAACTATGTCCTATACCTTGAAGTATCCTTCTAATGAAGCCATGAATAATTCAGCAGCGCGATCTGCCGCTTCCAGCACAGCCAACGGCCTTTGACTTCAAGTCATGAAACTTGTCAGCGGCCCCGTACTTATTTCCCCTCATTTCCTCTGCTCTCAGTGCAAATGGAGGAGAATCAATTTAAAGTATTGATCTGGGGGGTTGAGCGAGGTGTTAATTGTAGCTTCGGTCACAGCCGGGGCACACGTCCACCCCTCCCTACCGCACTCAGGTTATGAGTTTCCATCTGCCCGCGAGAAGGTCTCGTCTTTGCGCCATTCTCGTTATTAGAGCATCACCCAGCAGCTTTTCACAGGTCAAGGGGCTGCTGGCTGAAGGCCTTGGTATCACCAAGTGGTTTTATGGGCTTTTTTTGCTCCCTTAAAAGCCAAATGCATCTCTGGGAGGGTGCAGAAGGTACCAGCTGGCCGTTCTCCACACCAACCCTATGCGCTGGCGAGCACACAGCTCCACACAGCTTCTGCAACCCAAGCACTCAGGAGCATCCACGAAAATAAGCTCAAAATCAGATGAGGAAGACGTTAAGTTGCTGTGACTCTTGAATCTGGCACCAGAGGGACTTCCCCAGGAGTTCTTCAACCCTGTCTGAGCAAGATACATCAGCCCAGGTCATGGCTGTGCTGGGAAACACGAGGAGGACAGCCTAACTGAAGGTTTACACCTCCTGTGTTATCCAGAATACTTCCACATTATAAAGTGTTACTCATTTTGGCAGCAAAAAACTCCAAACACACTGTAGGCTACAGCATATACACAGAGCTGGGATTACTCCAACCAGATTGCAATCCAAAAATCACATAAATCCCAAGGCAAATATAAAAAAAAAACCAAAGGCAAGGTTAAAACAAGCAAACTTTGTATAGTTGTCATTTTCGCATGAAATAAAACTTACTTTCATGGACATACTGTTGAAAAAGAGCACTTGTTAGAAAACAATTGCCAGACTTTGCATCTGCTTTCTAAAAGCATGGTTTCTTCATGCAGGAAAAAAGAATTCCAGCTTCTAGACAGATTTTGTTATAACTTTAAAACATTACATCTTTCTTAAATAGTTGATTTTCTCAGTTGCTGAAAACTCACACCTTAATGTTAGAGCTTCTGCTGCCAACCTAAAAATTGATGCAGCAGGAAACCAAAATCATACAACAGAGGTGGGGAAAACACCAGAAAGCCCCATTATTTGGTGCTGCTCCAGCCACTGCACCTTACCTGTATGTTTTATGAAGCTCCACAACCTTCTCTTCCAGCTCTTTTGTCTGGTTTGGGGCCAATTTGAATTCACTGATGTAATCAGGGCTGTGCAGATCGGGGTCGTAGTCTCCCAACTCGGACTGGACCGTGTACGAACCCAGCAGAGCCAAGGTCGCAAAGGAACAGGGCAGCCGCCCCGTAATGATGTCTTGTCTAAGCTGAAGACACAAGTAATACCTGGGGGGTGGCAAAAAGCAAAATACTATTTACAGAGAATATAAAGAAACTTAAGAAACTTGAGGATCAGACCGAGTCGCTTTTTTTATGCCTCTGATGAATGCAGCATGATGCTTGTTTCGAATTTCTACCTGTATTTTTATTTATGGGGTAATATTCCCACAGTAAACAGTGTGGAGGACTGGAGGACTTAAGGTCACCTCCGCTTTGCAAAGGGAGTAGAAGATACTTATGATCAGAAAATCTTGGTTTTCAATTAAAACGAGCTTTTCTATACCAACACACGCATGTCAGGATGATAAATGACACTGCTTTGCACATGTGGACAATGGCAAAGAGCAGGAGCATCCCACACTTCCATTAAAAACAAACAAAAAAATCCCTCCGAACCGTTAAGACATCTGATCTCCTTGCTCAAGGATGGAATAAAACTCGAATATTAAATATTTCTGTTCAATCTTCCAGCTTTAGTTTCCTGAAAGTGCTCACGGCTTTGCTGAGGGAGCTCCCTCCGTTCCCAGCTCATTCACCTGGTTATGTCCTCTGTCAGCTGCGCGGGATCTGGTGGATAAAACTTGACATTGAAGGTAAAATCCCAGGGGCCTCCTGCAATTAAAAAGAGTTTGAGAAAAATAAACACACCAGAACAGCCTTGTGATAGTCGGTCGTTACAAAAACCTGGGAATAACACACAGCCAGGGGATCATAATCCTGGTTCTGATACTGTTCACTCACACTGAGCTGCTGCTTAAGCAGAGGGTGTAAAACACAATTTCCTTTACAAAAGCTAAGATACAAGCACAAGCAGACAAAGCAGGGCAGGCAAATATGTGTGAATAAACCACAACCTGCGGAAAAAAATTAAATTAATTGCTAAGAGGCTCAGTTACATATTTTTTCATTGATTGAAAAGAAAGATTCATGAAGAGAGGTCAGGCGTGTGCTGTAAGATAATGAATTAGTATTGTATTATCACTCGACCCAATTTTCAAATTTCTGGTGGAGCAGATGTGCTAATTCACTCCGCAGCCTAATGCACCGCGGTCGGGCAGCCAGACCACAGCTCAAACCCAGCACAATACAAGCATCAATCTCTGGCTGAAACCAGCAAGCACTGAGATAGGAAGAGCTTTAGAGGTCCAGACCTAAATGTTTTAATACCACTCATTGCAAACCTCGTACAGCGCCGTTTCAGGCATTAACTGAAGCAAGAATCCACATAATCACACCTAGAATTGGCATTATTTGTGGTATGGACAATTCAGCTGACACAGCTGAAGGGGTTACTCCCTTTTTTTCTTGAAAATAATCATATTTGCCTGCAGAAAACACTCCTGGCCAACCCACTGAGCAGTCAAAGTAATTTTCATAGTTACAACTGCCCCCAGTCTGTGCCCTTTAACACTACAGTTTAAAATAATATTTATTTCAGAAAGAGAAGATACTGAAGTGCTTAATTTGTTCAGAGATTTATCACAATCTCGAACAGGGAGGAGGGGGGACGTAGCGTTCGTGGATTTACTCCTTACGCAACGCCATAGCTGGGATTAAACACACAGCACGTTGTTTTCACCACACACAGTTCAAAACAAGTTATTCCAAGAAGACATTCTAGGTAGCAGAGGTTGCCTAAACCAACACACACTGGTGTACGCTGACTCACATCAACATCAAACAGGTATTTAAGTAAACTCAAGTAATTTGCCATTTAACCCATCTCAGGGGATCACATCCCACAGCAGGTTGCTCGTTACACTTACGAGCTGAATTCTACCTGCACGGCACGGCCGGAGCAGCTCATGCCCTTTACACACATCCCGCTATCGATTCCAAGAGAAGTTGGTAAGAGCAGGAGCTTTTCCTACTCCACAGCTCTGCAGCATTTCCCCCCTAAGCTGTACTTCATGACATGCTTTGTTCTGTGCCCCCCACCAAAAGCATATTTAAAACAGTATTTTACTCCTGAAGCAATCAGATTTGCTCTAGAGACAAAACAAAAGCCTCTAAAATGTATTTAACTCTGACACTGCCCTCATCTTGAACAAATTCAGTGCCAGGAGACTTAAAATCCAACTTTGGAGAGCATCTGGTGTTTGCCCTGATACTGCTCGAGCCGTTTATCATTCCAGTACCCCTTTCTGGACCCCAAAACAGCCTCAGAGTCCCTAAAACCTTGCTACAGCATACAATTTTGCTCAGGCTCTGCCACGCTACTTTGAGATTTAAATGGTTCCCCCACTGATGCCTATTTCCCATCCTCCAACGGGGAGCAAATCTCCCATTTCACAGTAGTAAGGACAGTGTAGGTTTGCATAGGGCAAACACACCCCAAGCTATGTTTTCCCAAGGAAATGACTTTTTTTTCCTAAATTTAGAGCATCCCTAAGTACTTAAGAAGAAGAAAAAGGATGCACAGACTGCTTGAACTTGTGCTGATCCCTGCCAGACACCCTTGCATGAACTCTCACCCATTCTTGGGCCCCCCGGATCACCTCCCAAAGCCACACTTATTTAGGGAAGGAGGGAGAAACCACACAACCCCACTTGATAAATTCGATCTACTCACCGTGAACTTGTTTTTTGATTTCTTTGGCAGGATCCAGCCACGTCTGTAAGAGGATAAAAACATTCACAGTTTAACAGACGTTCCAGAAACACCACGGAAAACTGCAAATCGCTAAAAATACGGCAAGAAGACAACATTCGACATGAGCGCAGCCATGGAAACGGGAGTGACGGCGCATTTTTCATAACTTTTACTCCAGCCTGCAGTCTCGGTGGGTGCATTTCCAAGCCTTCCACCTACCAGGTACTTGTGGGAGAGACACGAGGAACAGGAGAAATAAAAAAGCAGCATATTAGGGCTGCAAGCACAGAGCAGCAGGTACGATTGCAGCCACAACCAGCTATGAGAGGCACTTTATTTTTTCTCCAACACCTTTAAAAATAGGCAAATAGGATGTTTGCATCGATTTTGGGCACCCTGTCTCCATACTTACCCTACTCGGAACAAAGACTGCCAAGACTTTATTATTAGCTAAGGATTTTAACGACTTAATCACTGAAATACGAGTGAAAACATCCAGTCGCTGGGGAAGGCTGGAATCTTTTACAGGAGCGTGACATAAACTTGGTCTCTTTTAAGTAGGACTCAAGTTTCTAGTAATTATCTCAGCTACAAATTTAGAAATATACCCTTTTTTCCCCCCTCCTCTATAATTTGGGGTTTTGTGGGATGGCAGAGCAACATAAGCCTCAAAAACCAACTCTTGCTTTTGCCAGCATGGTCTGAGCAACTCCTGGCACATCAAATCTGAGCCTTTCCCGGGGTCTGCCCTGCTGAAGGCGACGATGTGGTGCTAACAGCCCTCCTGGAGAGGCTACATTAAACCACCTTCTTCATTTTCACGAGCCCTGAGCAGGATTTGGACATCCAGGTCTCCCGAGGTAAAGGCATTAATTCGTTGAATCCCCCAAGCTAATCTGTCTTGACCAGAAGGACACGTAACTCCATGGCAGGGAGACAGCGATACTTATATTTAATCTTATCTTTTTATATGCTTGTCCCTCTAACCTACAAAACTGGGGCTACAAAACCCATCTGAAAGGCAGACATGCCACTTGCTGTCTTTTTAGAGCCAGCTCTACGTCCACACCGGTGCCACGACTGCTCGCCACCGCAGTGGCCACGGGTGGGTTTCGGGCAGCTGAGCCCGGGGTGCAGTCACGCATCCTCGGCACTCACTCTGCCTCATCCAGCAGACAATGATGGGAACAGCAATTAACGGCACTTTTATCCACTCTGTGTCGTGAAACAGTGGGAAACAACCCTCCCTTTCGGAGCAGCGTGAGCATCAAGCTCCTTCGGTGCTGACCAGCTGCTCTACCCACTGTCACCATCTCCTATTCCCACTGTCATCCTCTGCTATTCCCATGTGGGAAAATGCCCATCCCAAGGAAGGTTTATTCCCTAAATATCAAGGTGGAAAATAACCCTTCCCTGTCCAGGAATACACACGTGCATCTCCGCCTGCTCCGCACAGAAGCTCATCTGTTGGTTTCCTATCAAGATCATTTCTACCTGTGCATCAGTAACTAAGTGTCGGGTCTTCTTTGAAGTTACAGCAGGAGAGAGATGGAGCTTCAGACTTCAAAGTTCAATGAAACATTACCAGAAAGATTCCCCAAAAAAAACCCCAAAAATTGTGTTTTCCCCCGTCAGAGCAAACCAAGACTCCACCGAGCAGCCTCCTCTGCACTAGAGGTAAGCTGACAGGCAGCAGCTTCACCTTCCTCAGCTCCCAGCTCTGGGACACAAATCTGACAAAACTGTTTTCAGTCCCTGAGGTTAAAAACCTTCACAGCCCCTTAGTCCTGTCGGCTCGGGGGAAGGAGGAGCATCCTTCTGCTTTCGGAAGAATCGACGCCAGCACGTCTGAACGCGAGAAAAGCGAGTCCTGGGGTCTGGGAGATGCAGCAGTGATGTACCCACAGCACCAGGGTGAGAAGTTGAGGTGCTCCAGCTAAACACTTTTTGCTCCTACTTGGATCTACAAGCACACCTACCCCTCCCTTTGCAAACACAGCAAACTCCTAGAGTAAAAAACTCAGGTTATACGCACGGAAGCAAATTTCACATACAAGTAAATAGCAAGACACCAGTGACAGAAAAGCAAAGCCAAGACAGAGCTCTGCCTGCCTCGAATCGCCATGGGATGGTGTTTTTGCCTGTGTATTAAAAATTCACACTTGCAATTATTAACTATTTAATGACAAATGTCTGTCAGCCACAGTAACCCGACCCACAGGCGACTGCTGTAGGTGAAACATGGGAATAGTCAGAACGTGGAACAACGTCACCGGTCTGAAGGACATAGAAGTGGGCTCTCGATTCCAGTTCAGCATACTTTTGGCTAACGTCATGAAGCAGAGCTTGAGTAATTGCTTGAGTTAAAGCGTAACCAAGGGTTTAAGAGGTAAGACAAAACTTGAGTCTAATCAAACAAAGACCTTAAACTAAAACTTTATGAGTAAGAGTTTTGGTGTGAAGAGTCACGTGTTCTTTCACAGGGTAAAGCCTCGACTCGAAACTGCTCTGGATGGCTCTGACTAATTTTACCAAAAAATGACGCCGGTGCCAGGGCAGTCAGCTTTTACACCTGCTCAGTCTGGTGAACACAGGCTCCAGGACTGGCAAGTCCCCCTTGCAGTGTGTAAACATTCAGGCTCATCTTCTACAGTCTAAGAGTAGTTAACTTCTTCTTAAAATTGCAATTAAAAAAACCTGCTGCTTTTCTAGAGTGAGAAAAGCCTTATCTTCTCCTAACTCCTTGAGTTATAGCTTTACAAATTCATAGCATCGTTTTGTAGTAACGTAACGAATATTCTCCAGGTGAAGATCCACGTTCACGTAGCTTTTTTACTAAAATCCACACTCCTGTAGTCATTTATTCACAATTTTTGCCTCTGTGATGATCCTCTTAAGAATTTTTTGGAGAAGGACACCAAAAGGAGTTTTAAGAAGAGCTTATACACCACCTCCTCCCCAGGGAAGATGATCCTTCAAAAGAGCTGCATCTGCCCAGGCGCAGGGCACCACGCAACAGCAGCTGCTTACCCTGGAGGTTGGTGTGTCCCATATGGCCAAACCAAAGTAGTCTTCTTCCAGGAGATTGAGGTGGTCGCAGACTTTTTTAAGTAGATCCTGCCCCTTGGCATGTTTCTGCAAATAGACAAAAAGAAATTCTGTAGGATGGGCTGGTTTTTGCCTGCCCTCGTTCACGGGAGAGGGGAGAAAGGGAACGTAAACAAACTACACTGTACACTGCCAAAAAGGTCCTGAGTAGCTCAAAATCAGATGTCCTGGCCACTTCTGAGCAACATTAGGCATAAAAATTCAAACCAGAGAGGCAATGGGAACTGCGGCAACTCCCTCTGCTACCACCAGCTTTGTGATTGAAGCCCCCCCCAGGGTGAGCTTCTCAACACAACTTGATAAACATCGAGGATTTGTTTGGTTTTTCCCTCCCAAAGCACATCTACGGCACTGGTATCTCCCAGGTCCAGGCTGCCAGATAATCAGGCATTGATCAAAAGACGATTGACACGGGGTATGACACTGCTGCTACAACTCACTGCTATAGTCCTCATTTTGGAGACAACCTGGCTTAGCAGGGTCACAAAAGACCATCACTTCCACAGCCTTTTATCAACCTGATCTGCTGACGAAACCCAGTTTTGCCTTTTGCACTGAAAGCTGCTTAGCACACAACTTCTTGCCTCCAGAAACACACTTTGAGCATTCCTATCTCCTTTTTTTTTTTCCCCCCAAATCCTGCAGATGTGAACTGGCCCCAGGAACAAATACCCTTTTAGTCCAAAAGCATGAAGGAAAAACATCCCCGAGGCACAAAACTATGGTAACCAGAAGGAGCTAATTCTCTTGGAGGCTCTGCTAAAAAGAAAGTGCGGTCCCAGTAACGCAAAATAAGCTTTACTAATGCATCGCTGGTGCCCGCATCTCTGCTTTTAGTCTTATTTGCATGGCAACTGATCCAAGGCGACAGCCTGGTTTTATTCCTGTCCTTCAGCTGTAAGGTCCTTAGTGCACACGTATGACTCCATAGGTAACACAGGGCATGCGTAGCCTGGATATTTCTCAAGGAATTGGCACTTAAAGATATATAGGGATCAAAAACCTTCCACAGCTGTCAATTGGAAAGGATGCCTGAAAGCACTTATTCTTCTCAGATAAAGGCATTTGTGCTGATCTTTGCTTACTTCTTTGCAATTCCTTCCCAATTAAGTCTTAATAAATTCTCAAAATGCCAGAGGAGGACTACATCGGGGTTACACCCAAGGGTACTTGTCAAGTCAAGAGGGTCCCACCGACACAGCGGCCCCTCCTAATCCTCTCCGCAGTGCCCACTGCGACCCTCTGGACCTACAGAAAGAGCCTTCTAACGTCCTGCTCAAGTCAGGACCAACCACCACCACCACCACCTCTCCCACCACCCGTGCCCGTGCAGCCTGCCGGCGTTGGAACACATCGCCCAGCAAACTCAGGCACGAAGCCACGGCAAGCTGTCACCAGCATTTCTGATCTAGGTGGTCCTGCTCCGGCAGGGGGATTGGACTAGATGATCCTTTGAGGTCCCTTCCGATCCCTGACACTCTGTGATTCTGTGAACAGTCTCCTTTTGGGGGCCGCACACAAAATCCCCCGGCGAAGGGGAAGGCGAGGGGGGCGGCGATGCTCCGAGCTGATCCCGTGCCACAGCAGCAGCGATGCCATTACACAAACAGCCAGCGCTGACCTACTTGCCCAGGATCACCCGAGGTAACAGCTTTCCCAAGGAGCCCTGTGCCCAGATACCCTCTCCTGGCCCATTTAGCCAGCGGGACTGGGGAAAAAACAAGCTGATGGAAGTATGCTCGAATGGTAAGTACCGGATTATTAATATTCTGGACAAGTACTTCAATACTGAAATGGGGATTTCTGCTAGCTTTTTATTGCCCTGACAGCAAGACAGCCCTTTGAGGGAATGCACAAAATAAAGGAGAAGAAAAGCTCTCAGACGAAGGGGTTTGCAGGGCTGTAAGTCAACATAATAATTGTAAATTGTTTACTGCAAATATATTCAACTGTAGGCTAAACACAGCATGTTTTTCTTTACATCCAAGCTCCAGGAGTTATGTTAGCCAACAGCCTGATAGGGGAAGGTATCTTGGGTGAATAGAAAAGCACAAATCAACCTGACAACCCGTTTTATTCAAAGGAAAGGGGGAGAAAATATTTAGACAACCCCAACCTCACACAAAAACCTAAACTCTAGTCTGGGATAAAAAAAGAGAGAAGATGAACAACAAGTAAGGCAACTTCTTTTTTTCTTAAAAAAAAAACAAACAAACACTTTCCCCCATCTTTATGAAACAAGGCACCCTGGAAATTGTAGAACAATTAAAAAAAAAAAAAAGATTCCTAAGCACTCAGAGATTTTTACAACACACTAAATAAGGTGTTATATCTCACAGCAAGTTTGTTCTGCAGTAAAGCCTGTCATGCAATTCACTGGCAGCAAACTAAACCCCTATTAAACAGTGTTTGTGGTGATCTTTCACGAGGAGGAGGGAGAGGGAAAAGAGGAGAAGCAGAAAGAAACCCCCAAGGTACTTACGTCCACGGCGCACTCAAAAATGGTGTCATCCAGCAAGACGACTTTGCAGTACATGTTTCTGTGTCTTTTTACTGCTCTCTGGGAAGCTTTCAAATCCTTCTCTGCTTTGGCCTCCGGAGTCTCTTGTTTTGGCTCTGGCTTGGCACACTCTTCCTTTGCTTCCCCTCCTTCCTTGTCCCCCAGGTCCCTGCTCTCCGGCTCCTGCTCGTCCCTCCTCTCCTCCTGCGCAGGCTGAAACCCCCACATCACCCAAGTTGCAATTTAGACATATCAAGAAAAAAAAAACATCTCATGAAATAAGCATTGCACAGGTGCACTGTAGGGCTGGGATCTCACCCCAAAATTAAGGATCTGAGTTCAATACATAAGCTGGGACCTGGAGGAGCAGCCTGGGTGAGCAAGGTTATGATGTTAATTTTTAAAGCTCTTCAAGTCATTCTCAGGTCTTCATGTAATAAAGGATGTAATAAAAAAGGAAAAAAGGTTGATTAGAGAAATCAGGGCAGATTACATCATGCAAATCTTCACAGTCTTAACGACAGCACCTTTTGGACTGGGAAGCTTTTCCCCTCCTAGGCCAGACACCCAGCGCACCCACTGCACGGGCCCCCACGCTGCCGCCCTGGGCAGTGGGCTTTGCTCCAGTGCCATCAGTATGGCAGCAGTGGTACGAAAAGTGGGGGGTCAGTGCTGAGATTTCTCAGCCGTCTGAGCTGACCGAGCAGCTCTCTGCCACCAAAAAGGGCAGGCAGCCTTCACACCCCTCTCCCTTTGCCTACTGAAGCACTTCCCAATCCAGTTTAATTCACTGAAATAGCAGAAAGAGCTGCAGTCTGGAGACAGGAGGAGGAAAGAAGCTGTTGGGTTTTTTTTTTCCCCACTGCCATTTCAGCAGGTTAAACGAGTTCACGGCAGGCTCTGACAAGTGCTGGAAGTGGCTCCACGCAGCCGGAGCACGCAGCCGCGGCAGAGGGAGAGCAAAACCCTGTCTTTTCAGCCCATCGCTTCTCATGAAATCACAGCCGGGCACAACTGCACGGAGGTATTTGAAAACTAAATAATGTCCACGAGCTGCTGACTTCTGTTCCAGAAGGGCCGGGACAATCGGGAGCAGGGAATCAGTCAAAGCTCGTAATGCCCGTCGGTCAGCATTTATCAAACAGGCAAATGCTTTCACGGCAGAAATATCTGCCGAGTGTCACAGTTCAAAAAGCCACTGACACGGGTCTAAAATAAGAACTAAAAAAAAAAAAAAAACCCACCAAAAACGCAAATGCTTCATCTGAAACAAACAGCCCATGATGAAGGAAAGCTGTGGGTGCACACTCAGAAGCAGCAAATCAAAGTCAAATAGAGAAAGAAATGGTGCATTTCCTATTGAAGACATAGTTTCTGGGCTGAAATTGCATCAAAGTTTCCCTCCGAGGTACAAAACACAAGCAGAGATCATCCCATGGTTTTCACAGGCTCAGAAACTTGGGAAAAGAAAGGAAAAGGTGTTCCTCACTACCTTCTCTCCAACTTTGACATTTTAAGGAGGTGGATTTACAGTGCCTACAGTTGGCAACGCTCCAACTTGTGAAGCACTGCTCCAAAAGTCAGAGTTTGCAGATACGTAGCACCTCTCTGGAGCACATTCAAACCTTTGGGCAGCAGGATAAGTAATCCAGACTTCACCACAAACGTGCTGTGACTCCAGCAATACACACAGGTCGGTTGGGTTGTCAGAAATCCCCATCTCGGAGAAGGGACACCCGCCTTTCTCCAACTCCGGGCAGCCGCACTAGTAACAGCAGAGCTGCGGTTATCCGAGGAGTAAGGGAGAGCATCCAACACCCCAAATCAATAACCAGCTACAGCTTCGTCAGTGTCTCCCGGGGATGTCTCTGCCTCAGTTTCCACCATGCTTCAAAAACTGTAAATTTGGCATGAAAAAACGACCCTGGCTGTAAAGAGCAGACATCAGACGGCTACCGGGAGCTGGGCTCAGCCCGCGTGCTGGGCAGAAATCCCTGTCTACATGATGCATAAGCAGAAAATTCTTGTATTTGGCAGGCTCAGCACCAGCCCAGACTGAACAGATGACCAAGTCCTGAAATGCCACGCTTGCGCTCCTTGAACTTGAAGAAACCCTTTCCCAAATTCAGGTCCTTCTGCACCCCGCACCTCACGCCACTGACCTACTGTTATTCCGCACACACCAAGGACATCCCGACGAGCAACCGCTCTGTCGTGAATTATGAATTTGGACCCCGGTTCTGATGTAACTTCCCAAGCCCCAGCAGAGTAACGAGTCAGCACGGGGCATTTTGAGTTATGCTGTGAAGTGTTAGTACAATCTCTGGAGCAGGTACTTTGCAGGAGAGTGATAAAGGAACACCAAGACTGGGAAGTATGTGATGCAACGCAGGGAGCTGACAGGAGCCTTTTTAGTATCTCATGAGTTTTTCTGATCAAGCTTACCATCCTAGGATAAGAAGTTTTTACAGTTTTGGCTGAAAAGACATGTTTTCAAGAACAGAAGGAGCACACCACACGGAGCAGGGTGTTTTACCTGTGTTTCTGCGCTGCTCAAGGAATGCAGATCTAGTGATGGATCTGTTTTGAGCTCAGGCTCAGGAGCTGCAATTGGGGCTTTCACCAGGATGTCTTCATCAGGGCTGGCTCCTAATCCCGGGTCTTTCTGGTCACCTCCCGCCTCTTTAGGAGCATCAGTGTCTTTGTCCTCTTCGGACACCTGAGACTTGGGCCTCCTGAGAAAGGATGAGAACAGGCGGGAGAGACCCCGGCCCTCGGAGGTGCGGCGCTCCTTCTTGCTCTGCTCCTCGTGCGTGGGCGTATCACCGTTGGAGGCCTTCTGCTTCTGCCCCACTGCAGGTTGTCCCTCTGACGTCTGCTGAGCCCCTTCCTCCAGGGAAGCTTCTTGCTTTTGTGTTTCAGCAGCTCCTTCCTCCTCCTTCGCTTGTTGCTGCTCCGAGTTGTCGGCGTCCGCCGCTAGACCCTTCTCTGTTGTCATGATGATGCTGTAACAGAGGTGTAAAACGTCTCAATCAACAGTTTTCCAGTATTTACACCTGCATTAAGCTATTCAAACCAAGCCTCAAGCACAGATACACCACGGTCCCCAGTCACACCACCCTGTCCTGCCAACTCCAGCCTACAAAGTCATTAAGAGGAAAAAAATCAGTTTGCAAAGGTTTGCTTTGATAGAAACATCTCTGTTGACATTTGCCCATTCATCTCCCACCACCCGGACAACGCTGACTCCAAACTGCTGATCGCCCTGGCACCAGGCTTGCAGCCTGACAAGAGCAAATGATTAAAAAACAGAAACAAGGTCAAGGAAAGGGGAGGACATGGCAGAGGGTCTTGCTCCATAGAGCTGCCCTGAGGTCCTCTCGCTCTCCAAGTCTCTGTCCCCCTCTGGCAGCACTGGCTGTGAGAGTGAAGCAGATGAGAATCATGAGATCATTTAGGTTGGAAAAGACCTTTAAGATCACCGAGCTCAACTGTATGAGGACACACACATGACCAGGCAACCTTCCTCCTACCACGCCATGCCAAAACCCGAGACAGCCTGCGATGGCTTGCGGCATTACAGCATCCTTCTCCAACACTGCACCTGGAAGGAGAAATCTGCTGCTTGACAGTCAAAAATTGCACGGCCACAACAAATTTTGACAGCTGCTCACTTCTAAACGTCCCTGAAAGAGGCCACAGATCCCCACCATGAACTAAAAGGGGGATATTTAAACATGATGAGCCACACTGATGCTCTGCTCTGGATGGGATCGATCAGTGTTGATCAACTACGTTGATCTGCAGAAGAAAGGTCCAGTGAAACAGAAAAGGCATCAGTTCTTTGCATGAAGATTGGAAAAATGTAAAATGAAACGGGTTCCAAACAATCCCCATACAGAGAGCAGATTTCTTCAGAGCCTGTGCTATTAAGCTGATGCAATGTTTATTTCAACTTTAGCCTGGGCTGTTGACACAAAAAGATGGAAATCACATGAGAAGAATATCTATTTAAGGTATAAAGAGGACCCAAAATAATCATGCTTTAGAGAGGATAGAACTAATCTTTGCCCGTTGCATCACATGTATCTGCAGCAATAAATTGCCACTGCTTACCCAGAGCAAATAGCATATAATCCAAGATGCCTTTCAATCCCCCCAGCCCAAGCCTTGGCATTACAAACATTTCCTCAAAATACATACTTAAAATTAAGAAACATTTTAAGATGCCACCCGCCTACATATTATTGCATTCAACGATTTTAATTTAGCTCGTGTTGATTGCCAAAATAACCAGAGTGCTTAGAAGAGAAAGGTCTTCCTAACTTTCCAAAGTACTCTGATATCCCTGTTCCTTGCAGGGGGGTTGGACTAGATGACCTTTGAAGGTCCCTTCCAGCCCTAACCATTCTATGATTCTATGATTTAATGCAAAAGCTTAATATTATTGCCAAAGCTGTGGTTAACACAAAGCGGCATTAGAGACCTTCACTGAATCTGTCTCTCCAGCAACGCAATTTTCCTGAGTTTACAAGGTTTGTTTTGTTTGGGGTTTTGTTTCTTTGGGGTTTTTTTTCAAGGAGGGCTTTTGGAAAAGCAGGGATGGTGACCCACAGGGTCTGTGCTCCCATTGGAACCATTCAGAGGTGCGTTATTCGGGACAGGGGCTCTCTGAAACCTCTTCACCTGGACGAGCCCCACCAGCCCACTGTGGGGAGGAGCTGCAGGACCCGTTTTAGGCCGGTCTCCTGCAGAAGCCAGGGTTACAGCATCACACCCTACATGTGATCCTCCCCTCCATGAGCTACTCTGGGTTTCTCCAAACCCAACGGAGGCGTGGAGGCCACTGAAACAGCAGCTTTCTACCTGCACTGAGAAAACAGGGATCCGAGCAGACAGCCTGCACGGGCGTCTGCAGGCACCTGAGGCACCAGGGACATGGCACAGCAAAGGTGGTGCTGACACCCAGATGTGGCAAAGCTCCGAGCTAGACGGAGATGCAGATGTGCAGAAAACCACGCTGCATCAGTTGTCCTCCTCTGGTGCTTTGCCCAGGAGAAGACAGGACAGCTTGGCATAGCCCAACCAAGGCAGTGAGAGCACCCAAGGGTATTTCTCCAGAACGCTGTCAGTTGGGCATTATATCACGTTTCCCCAGGAGTCTTGCAGGAGTTTGTTTTTTGCAGGATTATCACAGAACAGGCTCTGCAAGAAAGCTGTAAAATCCCAGTTAAACGAAAGGCGATGGCGGATTCACGCAGCACCCAGCTGGCTCCCACCACCACCCTCCAGGAGGGAGCAGCTTCACGCCCGCCGCTCGCGCTGGATTTCTTCTTCCCCAAAACCAGAAACACCGGCGAGAAGGGAAAGCGAGTTAAATCCAATCACACATGAGGCACAAGAGCTCTCAGACCACGGGCTCGCTGCCCACGGAGCACACCCCATACAGCAAACACCTGGAAGCTGCAAGAGCAGAGTGTGGGATGCTGCCGACTCGTGGGGCCAGAATGAAGGTTTCCACTGGTTTAGCGGGGCCAGAGAGGGATTACGGCACGAGCAGAGCCCGTAGCTCGGTTCAGGGGAGCTTCTGAAGAGGCTGTGTGCTAATGGGGGGGTATGGGGCCGCCATCGGTTTGCAGCTGGCAGCACGCAGGCGTCTCACCCCCGCAGCTCTTGCTGCTGTTTCCCTTCCTCCCGTGATCCCTGGCCCCGGTGGCAGCACCCGGCTCTGTCTGCAGAGTCACCCCAGCCACCACGCAGCCAATTCACGCTCCCGACAGCTCTCCAAAAACTCCTGGAGATGCTACAAGGCAGCGCGGGGGGCAACAAACTACGCTCAGCAAAACACGCATCACCCCGAGGCCGTGATGCAGGACGGATTCATCACGGCCAACTCCCAGGGCAAAGCCCACGATGCCCCGGCACAGGGACGGACACGATGCAAGACTGTCCCACCAGAAACACAGGACAATGGCAAGCTCCCTTCTGCACCAGCTGCCAAAGCAGCCTGCTTTGTAGCTGCTTCCCACCGCGTTTGTTTTGAATAAATGCATTTGTAGGAATCATTATCAAAACACGCAGCATCGGAAGCACGTTGCTCTTCATAAAAAGGCAGACTCGAAGCTCTTGAGATGACGACTGTGGGGAGGGCACAGCTGAAGAGCAGCTCTTATCAGCTGCAGTAAACAAGAGGGACAGTCCACAAACAAACATTTCCTCCGGATGTAGTTTTCTCTCTTTAAACATCAGCAATTCTGGAACAAGACATGTTTACTTGTTTGGATTTCAAAGCCGCAGTCACGGACCTTTCCTGGCATGGGAAGGTGCGTCTCGCTGGTGATGAGCAAACATCTCCACATCTTTCCTCCATCCCCAGGGAACCACATGGCAGCTCAGCTGGATCCCTTTGGAAGGGCTGGAGATGCAGAGACGGGCACGTACGAGCCCATCCCTTCCCAATAAACATTTCATAGCAGCAGTTAGCTGCCAGCACCAATAACTCACTGAGAGCAGGCAAACATCTTGCTGCAAGACCTGATCGTGCTTCTCCAACGCGTGGGCTCACAGCTGGTTCCCTCTCTTTGAAGTTTTATGTTCAGAAATCTTTTCCACTAAGCTATCGATCAAAAGCAAAGAGATTTGTAAGCAAGCAACATAACCCAGAGGCCGTATTATTTTTTAAGAAACAAAAAAAAAAAAGCACCTTTGCTGCACGGAGATGTTTGCTAAGTCGTGTTTTGTTTCCAAACCAGCCCACAGCAGAGCTGATACGAAGAGCGAGGTTCCCGCTCCGCTGCTCTTCAACTCATTGTTTGGAGAAAGCACTGCCCGCAGCCAAACCACAAACAGCTTTTTATTTAAATTTTTTTCCATCGTTATTTCACGAGGCAAATTCTGCAGAGTCTGCAGGTGCCTCAGGAGCTCCCGGGACACTGGAGGATGCTCTGCTCTGGTAGGAGCACCCAAGCAGTGCTGCTCACCTCCTGCTCTGAGCTGCCACGCTTGTAAACGCCAGCTTTGGGGTTTGTTTTTTTTTGGCAGAGGATGAGGGTTCGACTCCAGACAGCCTGTAAAAGGAGGCAGGTTCTTCGCAGGTCTAGTGTGGAGAAGGCGTTTAATGCCACGGAAATAAGCAAATCACAGAACAAAACTTCGATATGATCCCACATAGAGATTTCAGAGTAAAAATCTCATCAGACAAGAGTTAAGTACATATCTATATTTAAGCATTTTTAAATTTAAGAACACGTTACTCCTACTCCCGACGCAAAGACTTGAGCAACAGGAAGCAATCGGAAGAAAAGGGAATTAAACACTCCCAGAGCAGCCTGTGGGGAGAAGTCTATTTGTCTTCTCCCCTCCCCAAGGAGACCCACACCGTAGGTTGACCTCCCCACCAACAGCACCCCCCCTTCACTTGCACCAGATCAGCACCCAGAAGAGGATCTGGACCTCCTGGTGTCCCACAGCACCACGGGGAAGGTCAGTGCTTTGGTGATGAAGAGGAAGCTTCATCTCCTCTTAAAAGGTATCAGCAACTCTGAACACCAAACGTCAAAGCAAACCACGACACGGGCACCTTATGAACCTGCTGTCCCTGGCACAGCAGACCCTCCAGCCACCCAAATATCCTGAGACCCTCACCCCTGTTTCTGTCCAAAGGCATGGCTGGAGGGAGCACACAACATTTCTGCAGGCTCTTTGTCACCTACACACTCACCCTGCTCTCCTACATCAAAATCCTTTAAACAAAACAGACGTGAGGCTTAGAAGGAGCAATGTTTACATCTCAACGTGTGTGTTTTCACACCTTCTGCTGGGCTCTCTGACCCTGGTAGTTGAGGTTGGAGGATTTTTGAGGGAGGGCGGTTCACCCCCTTCCCCTTGCGACTGTTTCAGACTTTAGTAGATTCATTGCTCATTGCTCATCCTCTTCCTAACATCCATGGCTCGATCCAACACTAATTAATACCTGGCAGGTAGAGGATAGCAAAACTC